TATCGAGAGAGTAAGGAAGACGCACTTGAGGAAAAGAAAGGAATGAAAAAAGACAACTAGGTAGACAGTGTTTTCAATATTATCAACTGATCATCAACTGACTTGTGAAGCTCATTGACACCCATAAAATGGGTAACAAAAAACGGGGGTGTTGTACTGTTAGTCTGAACTGCTATAAAAGGAGACGCCCGTTTGCTTGGATGCTACAGCACAAGTTTTACTGTTAATAAAGCTCCAGTTTCAACTGCTTTTTCCTGCCAAGCCATGAACTCAGTCATGCAAAAGCCACTTTCAATTGACATCAACAACAACAAGGAGGAGTTGCTGAGAGAAACTGATGAATCAATCAACTGCAACCTGCAGTCAAGCTCGTCAACCTCACCTTTGGGCAGCTCTTCATCGGCAATGAGCGACAGTTTCCAAGAAAAGCTTAAAGAAGTTAGCTTAGACCAGATGATTCGGGGGCAGACGCCGGCCGGAATTGAAAATCGCTGTCTGGAGCTGTGTCGCGCCTTCATTGGCGGTCCTTGGAGCGAGGCAACAGGTGTCGAGGAGATCAGTGTCAAACGGCTGAGTGGCGGTTTTACTAATCAACTGTACCATGTACGGCTGATCAGTGCTTCAGCTGATGCTGCTGCTGTTGCTGATGATGATTTTCCGACTGAAGTGGCAATCAAGTTTTATCAAGCAAAACATATGAAAAATTATCACGCCGATGACGATGAGCGCTTAAACGATGTTATTATCCTCTCAATGGTTTCAGAGATGGGCATCACCCCCAAAGTGTACGGCATTTTTCAGGAGGGCTTTGTTCAGGAGTTCATCAAGGTAAGTGCATGTTTTCAAATTGCAATTTTTCAATAACAAAATTTTCCTTTCAGCACGAGCAATTTGTTCCAAAGCATCAACAGGTGGGTGACACTAATCTTGAGCATTATTTAGCCTAACTTATTTGTTTCTAGATCCCTAAATGTTTGGAGGGGTGCGCACAGTTGCAGGCTAAAATCCACAGCTTGAAGGTGCCTATTCGCAAGGATAGCAGCTGGATTTTCCGAATCATGAGAGAGTGCTTTCAAACTGCTTACGACCAGTGCGCTCTACAAGAGCTCATTGATCAGCTGCAGCTGGACGCTTTTATGAAACAAAATCCACTTGAAGAAATTGACAACCTGGAAAAACTGGTCACTGAAGTCAACTCCCCGCTGGCATTCTCGCACATCGACTTCAATCGCACTAATGTTCTAGTGGTGAACGGTGGCGAGCGAGTGGTCACCGTCGATATGGAGCACTGTGCCTATGCACCGAGGGCCTACGATCTGGCCACCTTCCTCAGCGAATGGGACCGTGAACTTTTTGCCTTCCACACTGTTGGTTTGCCCACTGATGCAGTGCTGCAGCAGTATGTACAGCTGTACATCAGTGCAGCCGATCAGTTGCAGCCGGGATTTGCAAGCAAAGCGGAAAACAGTGTGAAAAAAATTGTCAAAGAGGTGAAGATGTTTATCCTCGTCAAGATTCTCTTTATCATTGGCGTGAGCGTGCAGATGAGGGAGGCCGTCATTGAGGCGATTCCCTTTAACGAGGAGCTCAAAATGGTAAGTGTGCATTAAAAATGTTTTATAAACTTTAGGTAATTTCTGTCCTTCTCCCGAGCAGGAAAGCTGCAACAACTTTTTCCGTATTTACCTGCAGGTAAAGGAGCAGCTCATCGAGCAGGGCTTCATTCAACAAAAGTGCTAAAGTGTTAAATTTTGGTTTCCTAACTTTTGTAGTAGTTTCAAAAATTACAACTATAAAAATCTAGTGTCAAACACACAACCCTTCCAAAACTGTCTACCACCACTACTACCTGACCAACTTTGGTCTCCAAAAGACGTCACACGTTTCCCTGGTGAAGTTATCCACCATTCGGTACTGTCCGGCTTTGAGGTACATGAAACGGGTGCTGGGCTGATGATGGTCCGCCCTGTCAAGTGCACCACTCCACTGCCTGCCGCCCATCTCACCGGGATGGCCAGTGCGGGCAAAGGTGCTCCAGGCGGTGATCATATCGGCGCTGAGCTGCCTTTCCTCGGCCCGGTGCTGAAAGGGAACGCCAAAGAGGTAGTTGAGGTCTTCGCCGTGGAGGACGCCCATCCAGGGCGAGTAGGGAATGGGCAGCAGCGGGTCGGACATGTGCTGCTCCAGGCGGAACGAGTAAAAACTAGTGTTGGTAGAGTGTTGGGTTGCTGCTGCCAACTCCTCGAGAAAGAGAAGAGTGGGGCAGATTAGGTGATAG